TGCTCTCAAATAGAATCTTAAAAAAAAAAAAAAAATGAACCCTAAGGTAAACTATGGGCTTGGGGTGATTATGATGTGTCAGTGTGGATTCATCCTTGGTTAAAAAAAAAAAAAAAAAAAGCACCAGTCTGGTGAGTGATATCAATAATGGGGGAGACTATGCATGTGCGCTGGCAAGGGGTATGTGAAAAATCTCCCTACCTTACTCTCAATCTTGTTGTAAACCTAAAACAGCTCTAAAAAAAAACAAAAATGGTGAAAACATAACCCATAATATACCACTTGGATGCGCATGTATTTGTTCCACAAATATTTGAGTGCTTACTCTGTCAGACCCAACTGTAAGTGCGTGGCTAACTGCAATAACAAAACAGATCAAATCCCTACTTTCAGGGACTTTACATTCCAGTGGGTAGAGCTGGATGCTTAAAAAAAAATCAATATGGAATATCAGATAGTGATCCATGCTTTAAAGAAAATTTAGAAGTATACCTGGATACTATTTGGTAGGTAGTGATCAGCTGTGAATAATAAACATACAATGAATGAATTCTTAAAAAAAAAAAAAAAGTATACCTGGATTGAAAAGTGGGACATGCCTGCTACTTCATACAAAGTAGCCCAGGACTAGAGTAACATCTGAACAGCAACCTGAGTAAAGTGAAGGAGAGACCTGTTGGCTCTGGGGGAAGCTGCTGGAAATAACAGACAGCCCAAGCCCTGAAGCAGGAACTATCCGTGCTTGGAAATGGAAGGCCAGGGAAGGGACCCCGTGTGGCAGGGCTGGGGGGTAGGTCGGAGAGGTCAAAGAGATAGCTGGGATCACTAGGGCTTATGGGCCCTGGTAAGGACTTTGGATCTACAGAGCCATAATAATGAAACTAATGATTGAAGCAAATGAACATCATGTGACTATGGTGAACGTGAAGGGTTGAGGAGGAGAGAGAACTCCAGGAAGCTGGTAGATAATGCCTGACAAAGATAAACGAGCAAATGGCTGCCTGCACAAATTAACGAGAATCCAGGCAGCAAATACCAGAAGAAACAGTGGAAAGGGATTAAAGTGGTTTCACTAGTGGGTGAGGAGGGATGGAGCACGTGACTGCTGCTTTTCAGTAGAAGCCTTTTAAATACGATTTGACTTGTTTTTTAAAACTTGTGGAAGTTCTTGAGGAAGGGTGGAAAGCTCAACTGTAAATGTATCAGATGTGAAGCAGCCCATGTAGCCAGTGAGGGGGTGGAAGCCCTGACGGCCAGGGTTGGAGTAGTCCTCATAAAATAAGCCTTCATGTTATGTCCTTGAAGTCTTGTCTGCTGAGTGAGCGCCCCTGAGAAAGAGTGGGTCCTTCTTCATACGGCTTATGATTTGGAATCCTCAGTCACATGTGTTTCCTGCTAAAATATCCATTTATGTTTTCTTCATTCAGCCACCTGACAGCTGTCCCCTATTTTCTTAGGTGCTGAAGAACACTGATGGCAAACTTTAAGGGCCATGCTCTCCCAGGGAGCTTCTTCTTGATAGTTGGACTGTGGTGGTCAGTGAAGTACCCACTGATGTACTTTCACCAGAAGGGGAAAAGCAGCCGACTGACTCATTACCATCAGTGTCTCGAGATCATTGAAGCCGCAATCAGAACCTTGTTTTCAGTCATTGGTAAGAAGGGGGTCATCTGGTCCAAGGGATCGCCCCACCACACCCAGAAACGTTAACCCATTTTCTGGATCCTGTGAAATGGATGCTTCCACTGGCAGATAATAAAAAGGATTTTCAGTGGGCCACTACATATTTTATAGTATCTATTGTGTACTGAGCTTTGTTACTGTTAACAGTTAATAGCACCTTACACCATAGTGCGCCGTGAAAAACTACCAAATAAACTACATTCTTCACCCTAGAAGGACATAGGTATAAGTTGTAGGAATAGAAGACATACCTGATGAAAAAGATAAAACATAATAGAAAAAATAATAGAGTAAGCTCATGTACATGAATTAGCAAAGTACTAAATGCAGTTTAGTTTAGAAAAATCATCTTTTTTTCCCAGTTGTCTCTCCACTAGAATCTCAAGAGTAGCTACCACCTAATTCCTTGGCATATCCTCCATCCCCATATCTCAAGCAATTACAAAGACGGGGACTTTATGCTACAGGACTAGTAAGAGAGGCATTGGAAGAAACTGAAGAAAGCCAGCAGAGGGCTATTGGAAAGGAATTTTCCTTTACTGTGCCTGTTCCAACAAAACCCACGCACTTCCACTGTGACTCGTCATCCACTCCACTAGTGGCCACATGAGAAGGGGCCCACTGTGCCAACACTAGAGAGTGTTCTTCTCAGGATCCGCCCAGCATGGGGGTAACGAGGAACTTTATTCTGCAATTGCATTTTGCCACTTCTCACCTTAGGCCCACAGCGTCTCAGAAGGAACCGAAGCAACACCAGTCGTCCCTCTTGGAGTGAGCAGAGGCACCTAGCTTTGTTTGCCCAGCCCCGCTGACTCTTCCCATCCACCAGTCAGTCAGGCATCTTGTCTTTCTGGAGTCGAGGTGATGGGAACTATACAGCTTAAATGCTAAGGACAGCATCAATGCTGCCTAGAAAAACAGAGCTAGAAAAGTATTTGGCCTCTTTGCTGGGCGAAGCTACTGCTCATTCCACAAGATCTCCTGAGCTCCTACCCAGCAGGACCTCACTATTCCGGGTCTCGGGGATACAGTGGGGAACCAAGCAGAGTCCCTGCCCTCGCAGAGCTCCCATTCTAGTATCAGTGGGATTTCTTCTCCCAGGTCCTTTCCACCAATTCCTTGCTCCCTCACATATAAATTCGGGAAGGGGCTGGGTTTAAGAAAAAAATGTTTGGGGAACAGGGTCCAGAATGTTGTCATGGAGGATTATTCTAGGCCCCAAGAACGTTTTGAGCACCAGGCATAAAGACCTATCTTTTGCCTTCCAAAACAGATGATGAAGTAGAAGGGCTAAGAACTACGAGCCACTGTCTCAAAGGCTTGCCTTTCATAAGACACAGTATGGCCAGAAACACCGCGGTGACAGGCCTTCACCTGGTTCTCCCGGTATTTAGGTACAGAGACCTAAAGCTATGGGAAGGACTCGGCTCACAGAGCGCACTCTGTGCTCAGGAAAACCACTCACTCGAAGTCTGCCCCGACGAAAATACACCTGGGAGCCGCTGCTCCCCCCTCAGGCGTGCACCACTATCTTCCCCACCAGCGTAGGGTGTCTCTGCTCAGATCCCATTATTTTCAACCTAATGGTTTCGTTCTGGGATTTCTCTCACTGCTCACTTAGCCCAAAGACTCATGTATCAAGCACATTCTCACTTAAGTGATTATGCCTTGCTTTCAGCTCAGCCACTAGACAAACATCCCGGGGACCCGTGTGGCTGTTTCTATCGCTTCTTCTCTCCACACCCTGACCCCCAAAGGAACAACAGAGGCAAGATGTCTACACAGGTTCGTCGGCAAATGCATCTTACACTGAAGTAGCTGCATCTGAGGGAGCAAAGCAGGTGCACTGAACTGGAGGCCACTTTCACCCATGTCTCAACTTCCTTCCTGACTTCAATTTCCACTCTCACCCCCTGCAGGGATCCTGGCCGAGCAGTTTGTTCCGGACGGGCCCCACCTCCACCTGTACCATGAAAACGAGTGGTGCAAGTTAATGAACTGGCAGCACAGCACCATGTATTTATTCTTCGCAGTCTCGGGAATCGTGGATATGCTCACCTGTCTTGTCAGCCACGTTCCCCTGGGGCTGGACAGACTGGTTATGGCTGTGGCAGTATTCACCGAAGGTAACTCAGTGGCACGGATGGAAAAAACAATGCAAGAGACTGACAAATTGTTTTTATGATGGATCAGGATAGGGAGACCAGAAATACTGCAAATACAGTAACTTTCCCCAGAAAACCCGAATCTCTGAATTTCAGACACCTGATTCAGGACTTGGTCCTGTGCTCTGGAGGATCCAGGGGACGTAGTCCATAAAAGAGCCCATGAAAACATAAGGCTTTCAGCCAAAGTCTCTGGATCTCGGTGCACAAACTCTCCCTGCCCCCTCCCCCATCACGTTCATGTGTATGAGAGCATGTGTGCACTTCCACGCTGAAACACACAGTAACTCTCCAAAACCTGGCTGGATGCCACCACGCATAAGGATAACTCCCTTTGTTCAGGGAAGAGAAACTGCACTCCACCTCCCACCCGGGATGTTCCTGTCTGGACTCCATGACAAACCTCAGGAGACCCACGCAAGCAGCTAGGACAGATTTCCCAATATAACTCATATTAACCGGGGTAAGGAGAAAGCATTTTGTAATCCAACAACCTTACTTGCATCTGTACCTCAGGAAGAGTTAGGGGTGGGGGGGGAAGTCAAATGAGGGCAAAACTGAATTTCAAGTACACACACAAATTTGTCACAAATCAGCATGTTTCGCCTACGCATCATGTACTGAGTAAAGAGATTTTAAAAGATCCATCCTTTGCAGCACATATCCACTTCATACATACACGAAATAAATCTAATCTGTGTCTGTTGCCCTGTAATGTTATATAAACTGACTTCTTAACTGCTGAAAAATCTAGCTTTGAGACAGGCGTAGGAGGGCATTCTAGGAATGGTAACAGTGCAGATGAAGCCTTTGAAGCAGAAGGCAGCAAACCCATGATGGCCGAAATTGCTTTGTGCAGGTTTTCTCTTCTACTACCACGTCCACAACCGACCACCCTTGGACCAGCACATCCACTCACTCCTGCTGTGTGCGGTGTTCGGAGGGGCTTTCAGCATCTTTGTAGAGGTGGTTCTCCGGGACAATATTGTGCTGCAACTTTTCCGAACCAGTCTCGTTATTCTTCAGGGCACCTGGTTCTGGCAGGTAATTATTCGAAACGGTGCTCTTCACCTTGTGTGCATTCAAGGAGCCCCACAGAGCTTGTGCAAGGCAGGTCCTGCAGGGCCAGCACTGACATACACCACAGGAAGGGCTGTGGAGGACCACTGGTCTTCCCGTGCCTAGCCCCCGACTTAGGTCATTTCGTCCAGTAGTACCTTGCTGACGAGCTGACAGGCGGATCCCATGCAGCATACACAGCGAGCCTGCGTGCCCTCCCTAGTGGAGGCATGGATACCGTTTGTTTATAGGCCCCTGAAATGTGGTTTTAAGTAAGCCCATACTAAAGCCAGAATTAGAGCCATTCTCCTATGCAAAAGGCCCTTCTGTGTTCCCAGGGGTATGGGCAAGAGGAGGCAGTGGGGGATGTACAGCAGCAGGGGCAGCCGCGGGGAGAGGCGAGCTTGCTGCTCAGGACCAACTAAGGCTGGCTTCTCTGTATAACCCACCAGATTGGGTTTGTGCTGTTCCCACCGTTTGGAGGACCCGAATGGGACCAGAAAGATGACGCAAACCTCATGTTCGTCACCATGTGCTTCTGCTGGCACTACTTGGCTGCCCTCTGCGTTGTGGCCATCAGCTACTCGCTCGTTTTCTGGTATGTCCAAGGGAAGACAAATTCTGTCTGGTTCTTCCTAACAACCCCTCGGTCCCCAAAATCTACTACACTACATCATTTTTACTTCCAGTGACCCACCTTTCATAACTAAGCAGTGCTAACTTCGACCACTTTTTGAGTGCCAACTGTACGCCCAGGTCTGCAAATGAGGGTGATGAGATTCTGAGAAGTTAAAGGACTGTCTGGTCCCTGTCACCTGACAGACCCAGGTTTCAAAGGCAGTTCTGGTGGACTTGAAGCCTGCATTGTGAAAGGAAAAACTCTGAATTAGGCATCAGTGCTAGACTACAGACCCCACTGTCCATCATTTTGAGCCCATCACCTTATTCCTGGATTTGCCCCACCTCCTTCCCAGAGATGTGGCAATCAGATACGATGCTGTAACAGCAAGTGCTCTTTCAAGTGCTCGTCAGCGGTTACTAGAATAGCTGACCATTCCCAGGCACTGTCCTGGGCCCTGCGGTAAGAACCTCATGTCTATTACCCCACTGAATCCTCATTATTTTATGAAGTATGTGCTGTAACGTTTTACAGACCGGGAAACCAAGGCTTCAAAGACTGAGTAACTTGATCGAGGTCACCCTATGAGTCAACAGCAGACCTGGCCTTGAACTGCGGTGCGAGTGACTTTTTCGATATGCTAATAATTAGTTCTGTTGTAGCTGCCCCTCATTTTCCTAGTTTCTGATTTCCCTCCCCAAAGCAGATCTACTTCACACACACACGAGTTCCATGCAGACCAAACAGAAGGGAACTTAAGGTCACAGTTTCCTTTAGTTCTTCTGCCTGGTCAGTGAAACAATAAGCTGGGAGACAGAAGACCTATGTTTAGTCTGTTACGACATTAACCATTAAATATTATTAATTATCTACCAATGAATAGTGTCCAAGAAGCAAGATATGTGGACAACCACGTTGTGGTTTCTTTATATGTTTGATAGACATATAAAGAAAATGCTTTAAGAACCAGTGCATGCCTTAACCATCCTTGGTTGAGAGAATAAGGGCATTCGGGGGCTAATTTCCTGCGCTCTTATTGTTGCTCTATTACAGCCATTTGACTCGGTTAAAGAGGCACGGAGGAGAAATCATTGGCATTCGGAAGCTGAAGTCAGATCACACTTACCAGACGGCCCTCTTGAGTGGCTCAGATGAGGAATAAGGGAGGCCACCCGTCATCAATGCGGGGTGGACAAGCCCCTTTGAGTACGAACAGCTAGAGTGTGCAAAGGGGTAGCTCATCTCCATTTCAATGCTTGCTCTGGTCTGCTCTTAACGTTCTATATATTTGCACCTTCTCATTTAACTGACTAAAGTCTCTGTTGCTATGGTATCCTTCATAAAGAAAAATGAAGCAAGCCTTTGTGTCCCAGTATGAAGAGAAATCAAAGACTCTGAAAGTTTCAGAACGGGATGGGGCCTCATGGATGAATCCAGGATATGAATCCAGCAGAAAATACTGCTTTTGATAACTTACTCCTTTTTTCTGAAGAAAACAGGTAGCTTATCAGAAATTGAGACTGCCTTTATTTTAAAGATACAATTCTAGCACATTTTTTTTTTAAGTAAAACAATTTATAAGCTTTGGTACTTTAAATATTACTTGTTAAACATTTCTTAATTAACCATTAATATTCCAGAGTACTACAATACTACTCGTAAGTGATGACATTAGGCCAAAGGTGACTTTTTTTTTTTTTTAAACCAGGAAGCTAGTTAGTGGCCCAGCTGAGAGCTGGAACGCTGATGTTCTGGGTCCTCAAAAGTACCCTCACAAGAAGATGCTAACAGGAAGTCTGTATAATGAGGTAGAGAGAAAAATGGCAGGTTATTGAAGACCCTGAATTTAAATACAGCTGAAAGCAAAGGGTAAGAATCCTGCAAAGGATGTGGATCTTGAAATAGTAATATAAAGTCTTGACACTGTAATCCTGGTTCTGGATGTTTTTTCTTTCTTTTTTTTTTTTTTTTATAAAACTTCAACAAATATTTATTAAACATCTACTTGGCACCGGCACTGAAATGGTTGGAAAGATTACTGAGATACCTGTCCAGCCAGGAATTCACAGTCTAACGGGAGAGAGATGCAGTTACCTACAGGGTGACTGGTGCCATAAGGGGTAAGTACAACTACCATGAATGTGAGGGAGGGGAGGAGATGGGGAGTCTGCCCTGGAGAAACATGTTCCGGGCATAGAGAACAGGAAGCACAGCGACCATGAAATCATGAAGGAACACGGAGAGTTAGTTAAGTTCCACAAACTGACAGAAGTGGGCTAGGACAAACTGGAAAGGTCTTCCAGACCAACCTATCATTCGTGTGTACAGCACCTCACACACACTGACAGGCACCGTCTCCCATGTGATTCGCACAACCACCTATAATGGAAGCACATTCGGTTCTGCAGAGAAGTTGATGAGCCAAAGGTCACAGAGCTATGAAGTCGCAAAGCCAGCCTTCAAGACTCCAAAGCCAGCTTACTTCTCGATAGAGCCCCCCCAGCTACTCCACACAGATACGGCAGAGATCTTCGACACACAGCACCATGTGCTCTTCGGAAGAAATGCTGTACTTGAGTGAGAGCTGACCTCCCACGGTTAGCTAGCATTTCAGTGCTGAAGTCACATCTCAGGGATTAAGAATTAGCTACTTGAAAATGGGATTTAATTATGAGAAGAGAACCTGTGGGTCCCCTTTCAGGATCCAGTTTTGTTTGCCTGCTAAGTAGGAACCCAAACATCCATTCAGTTAAGTACTGGAGGACCCATTATGGGCAATTAACATAAAAACATGTTCTTTCCCGAAGAGACTGGAGGTGGGGGTAAGGAACCTATTCACAGTGTTCCTTTCATTGTAAAGATCGCTGCGGGTGGATGGGGTGGGGTAGTGCGGTACACGGTAAGGAAATGTATTTTCTGCAGAGTGAGGGGTTGAGGTGTGAAGATCAGACAGGCAACACTGAAACTTATTGTGATGCCCCTTTCGTATCACGGTTTGGGATACCTTCATGGAACTGATCAATCCTGGAGAAAAACCTTCTTAGATGTGGTATTAAAGTACAAACCCATCACAGTGCTAGTCACCAAATCCAGTCTTAAGCACACGGTCTGAATAATTTTACCAACCTCTGAACCTTAGGTGCGGAGGCTCAAGGGCTCCCACAAGTTCTTCTGGGCATGTTCCCCCAAAACATCTGCCATAGCTCTCACATCTCTACAAGACCCTTGAGGTCTATATCCAAGGGCCATGTTTGAAGCAAATGCTGCTGACATCCCTTGAACAACTCCAGCAGGGGCTGCCCTTCCTCAGCACCCTACCGACAGGCTGGGCGGTACCAAATCGTACTCAGCAGGGAGCCAGTCCCACACTAGCATCCTGAAACTTCTCTGTTCTCTGAGCTGGCAGGTAAATGTCTCCAGGCACTAAGGAGACAGACACAGCCAGGTGACTTCAGTAAATAAAAGAGTGGGGCAGGGCTGAATGTCGGAACTACTTTCATGCAATCACTTGTTAAGTAACTTCGAGAAAGGTTTGTTTTAACCAGCAATAAATACCTGAGACAGGATCCCTCAAATGTCTACCGTTTTCTCATTTAGAAACTGTCACTCGGACCCTTCATGTGAAATGTGACTCTAGGAAGCAATGACGTGCAAATATCAAAGTCCTGGAAAGGACAGATGCCCTCTCCTCTACTCAGCTAAAAGGCCATTTTTTTCCTTCATGGCAGTCCCTACCTCTCCCCCTTCCCTGTCTGACTTCTGTGCCAGCCCCCCACTACCAGCAAAAGCTCAGTCACCCCTCAGCCAGTTCACCTCGGCGCTCTGTAACCTGGGCTTACTCCCCCAATTCCAACTGTCCCCACCTCTCAGCATGACACATCACAGCCACCCTCCCCTAGGAAGGCAGCAGAAAGGATGAGAAGACTGGATTTACATCTTGCTTCTCTTTAACCCCAACTCAGACCTGCAATCTGTCACAGGGATGAGAAGTCAGAAGAAGGATAATGCGGTCTATTTCACAGAACTGCTTCAAGAATCAAATGCGATGTCTAGAAAGCCACCAGCCACTCTGACCTTCCCTGCTCCTCTGCAGCCTGTCTCATCACTCAGCAGCCACCTGGCAACCCCCTCTACATTAGGCCACGGAAATTTTCTGCCCCTCAACTCCACTTCCTTGCCAGAAAAAAAATAAAAGATCATCTCTGAATTTCCACAGATTAAAAACACATTTTTAATAATCTGGACACTCTCAAGAGAGACAGGGAAGCTCTGACCCTGCAGGAAAGCTCCACCATCCAACCCCTGCTCCCCTACAAAAGAGGCCTATGTTGTTAACAACCAGGGCTTTACTCACTTACGAGATTTTCCAATATTGTTCGGAGCTCTGCCTAGAGCTTGGTAGAGGCTGAGAAGGGGGACACAGCCAGGATGAAAGGACTAGTAAATCCTGACTGACCTCTCCTGTGACCAAGCGGCCTGGTGCGCACACCCACTCTCTTCTTGCCGTCTCTACTCTGGAGCAGAAGTCAGCAAAGTTTTACCTAAAGGGCCTAAGGACATAAATATTTCAGGCCTAAGGGCCATATGAACTCTATGGCAATGACTCAGGTCTGCCTTCTAACTGAAAGCAGCCATGGATAATACATAGACAAATGGCCAGGGGCTGTGTTCCAATAAGACTTTATTTACAAAAACTGGTAGCCAGCCCAGGGCTGTGGTTTGTAGACTTGCTCTGGAGCAAAGCAGAACATACAATCTCTGAACCGCAATACGGTCTGAGCTGCAAAAGCAGCATCTCTGCTGCTGCTTGCCTACTCTGTCCACTGGCTCTGGACTTTGGTGTGAACAGGCTTGACAAGGACGACAAAGTCAGCAGGTGAAGATACAGACCACAATCAAGATCCCGATACCTCGTCTTTATGAGGCGATGCCAAACTCATCCCATTTCGGGGAACCCATACTCTCTCGTTCCCTAGGATTCCCTGCCCACCTTACAACCTCCCCATTACTATGTAGTGATCAAGTCAGCCACCAACTTACTAAGAATCCTGCTATTCTCTCATTCTGGTCAAAAGAATAAGTAATCAGTTTGGGGGGCGGGGGGAGAGGGCTAGAGCCCAGGTTTCTCTTGGATAAAGATGTACAACAGGTTCCTTAAAAAAATAAGTTACATAAAAATTTCTGGACACAAAAACTCCTATCTAGACCACTAGTCACAGAGAAGAGCAGAAGCTAAAAAACCCAATCCCCACAGAGAACCAGGTTTCCTGCCGGTGTGCACGCTCTGCGGCTGTGAGCCTTCCCCCGGCGTCTGGCTCTCCAGAAGAGAACTGGGCTCGTGGGGCCCAACAGTGACCTCACCCAACCCTAACAGAGGAGCTTCTCCCGGATCGGAACAGAACAGCCCTTGGAAGCCTGGAGGGGACTTTTCTTGGTGTGCTCCGCTGTGGAGTGTGGCGGCAGATTCCAGGCCACTGATGCCATCATCCCACTGCCGGCCTTCCCTAACCAGACAAGCTGAGAAGAACGATGCCCCCCCTCTGCTCCCCTCATCTCGGCCAGGAGGGCAGACCCGGGTGCGTGCGTGCATGGACGCCGCCTCTCTTGCCCCGAATCACTGCTGTTCAGGTGCCTGTTTAGGAGATGGAGCTGTGGTCACAACGACAGTGGAGACTGCTTTGGAGGAACCCGAAGCTGTCCCCTGTTGAAGATGAGATGCGGGCACAGTCTGGATGCGCACCTGTGTGCAAAGAGAGAGGGTCTGGTCAGGAGGTCGCAAACGAGCTCCGCAATCACCAACGAACAGCAAAGGGGAGACAAGCCCGATACGGCCAGCAGTTCGCCTTGGCCCTTACCTGTGTGGCCTGACCTTGTTGCTGAAGCTGCTGCAACTGCTGGGCAGTGAGGAAACTCACAGGCTTATTGCCAGCAATGAGCTTAGTACCCGCGGGCATGGTGGTGAGGATGATATTGCGGCCCAAGCCACCGAGGCTGTGGAGGGAAAGCAGGAGTGAGGCGCCGTAACAGGCGGGCCGTGTGCTTAAGGAAAACAGGGAGCTCTGCAGCCCAGCGAAAGTTCCTGCATTCTGGACTGAAATGGAAACCAGCTGGTGAGACCACCTTTCTCCTAGCTTCTAGGCTTCCCATAAAGCCCCGAGGCCCTCAGTGCTCTAGATACAACGGCTCTGACACCGTACCCCGATCAGCAGGAATAATGGACAGGACTCCATGGAAGTGGGCATTCCAGAAAAGAAACTCTTCCCCAAAACAGCTGCCTTGAGACCATCTGATGTCCTCATGCCCCTTATCCCTGTTTAGGGCAGGACCACACAAAGTCCAGGCTCCCAAGTAAGCCCTCCTCCTCTGAACTATCACAGCACAGGGCTCAATGTCAAAGTGAGGCCTTCCCTAACACCCACACTGGACACTACCATCTGAGCCACGGCACCAGCCCACCCCCTCCCAGCACTTCCCATCCCCTTCCTTCCTTTTTTCTCCATAGTACATATCACCAACCCACATGGTATTTTACTCTATTATTTCTCTCCTCCCCCTACAATGTAAGCTTGAAGACAGCACGGATTTTTGTCTGTTTTCATCACTGCTCTGTGTCCCCAGCACCTAGAAACAATACTAGGTGCTCACAACTGTGGATGAGCACAAAGAAGGAGAAATATCCAAGAAGGGCCCCAGAAAAACTAGCTGCCCTTCCTGTGTGTGGCAAGGAGCCACGTGGAAGCCCTGCCCGCCCATCACTCCGGCACTTACTTGGCTCCAAGGTTGCCTTTGATGATGGGGGCCGTGACCACACTTTTGCCCTTCATAGGCTGGCTAATAACAGACAGTGGAACCGTGATCCGCGTAGGCAGCTTCCCCTAAAGAGAAAAAGAAATCAGGCTTATGGGATAGGAGGGAAGGAGAACTAAGCACCACCTACAGGGCCACCGAACCGAGGAGCAAGCACTCAGATGCTCTCACTTCCTATACTCTACAGGAGCCCAATATTTCTGAGGGGTGGGCCCAGGCTGCCCTCCTAAAACTGCTGACAGGCTGTAATAAGTGCTCACATACTCTACTGAGGTCTCATCTGATCTGTTAACCATACTCCTTCCTTCTCACTCCCAGAAGCAGCAACAACCATATATAACCGCTACCATCAGGATAAACATGAGTACTAAACTGCAAAGGAAAGCACTGTGTTCACTTAAGCACGGTAAGAGTCTGAGCTCCACAGAGGGTAGGGTCTTAGTGATCTGTGTACGTCCCGATACTTGGCACACAAGTGTCTGAAGGAAGTGTGATGAAGAACAGAGGCACTCAGGAGTTAATATAGTGCACAATCCTGCTTCCCTGGAACGCAGGCTCACTGGCGGGGTGCACACAGCCCGGCACGCTAGATTAGGAACAGGTCACATTTTCCAAGTGCTTTCCATCTCTCCCAGAGATAAGAGGTTAGTTAAGGGACATTAATAATAAACTCAGCCAAGTGAAAAATCCAACCCCAAAGCCACTAAGGCCCAAAAGGAACAAAATAGAAGCTCAAAAGGCCTAGAGTCTTTGGGATTTCAGGATGGCAAAGATTAGCTCACTGCATCACCTGTGTTCAGGATGCCTGCCTTTTAACCCTTAGTTGGTAATAAAATTTATACACAGTAAAATCTTGTGTAAATCTGATTTTAAAAAAAATGATTCAAGGGCGCCTGGGTGGCTCAGTTGGTTAAGCAGCTGCCTTCGGCTCAGGTCATGATCCCAGCATCCTGGGATCAAGTCCTGCATCGGGCTCCCTGCTCAGCGGACAGCCTGCTTCTCCCTCTCCCTCTGCCTGCTGCTCTGGCTACTTGTGCTCTATCTCTGTCAAATAAATAAAATCTTAAAAAAAAAAAAAAAAGATTCAATGCTAGGATACTCAGAAAAGGCATCGACACTTCCCAAGGGCAAGCTATTTCTCAAGAAGCCAGGCACTCAGGTATAAAACTGTGTGTCACAGGTCCCCACACCAATCTCCAGTTGACTCACAAGTTGTAGCCCATCAGAAAGCACTCAAAGATGTCAACAGGCAACAGAATAATTTAAGATGGTGCCTCCAGGTGGATTTACTTATGGTTTTATTTTCTTAAGAATGCCTCAGTTGCTTCCAACATTTCAGACCACCAGAACACCAGCTGGAATTCTCTCTTTATGAACTAGCCTAACTAGCTGAGTAGACTGGGAAAAGAATCCCTGCTCCATGCTCTGTGCCCCTTACAGGCTCCCAGGTTGTATTTGTCTAGACTGTGACGGAGTAGATGCCACGGGCTTACTACCTTTCTGTGTTAGGAGAAGGATTCAAGAGAAAGAAAAGTGGATCAAGTATATACTGTTTCCTTGCCTCCTTAATTTAACTTTTGTGATATGAGAACCTAAATAAATACTTCCTTTTAAGCCACACTATATTTCAGGGTTTGTTGGCTGGTTGGTTTTGCTAATATCCTCCTTCCTCCACCACTCTGGCTTTTATCCAAATTATTGAGGTTTTACTATATAGCTTGCTTAGGAAAGTAAAACTGTGTTTTATACCGTGCATAGCACCCCACTCTACAGAACAGTGCTCCTTATCCACAGGCTAAAAAATAAAAACACACGTGCACCCAGAAACACACCTATGCTGATACAGGAATTTGCTTTATGATAAGTGTATTTCAAGTTAGTGGGTAAGGAATAAACTAGCTGATGATGTTGGAATAAAGTAAATATAAAATGACATCTCTACGACATGCCATTCACAAAACATATTTCAAATGGATTATCGACGATACTTTTTCTAAAACCCTGAAAATATTTTATGAAAATGAAGGCTAATATTTTTATAATCCTGGAGTATGAAAAGCACAAGACACAAAACCCAGGAACCATAAAAGAAAATGTTGATAGATCTAATCTGATAAAATGCCTGTAGAGCAAAGGCTCCATAGGCAAGGTTAAAAAATGACAGACTGGAAGGAAGTATTTTCTACACATACCAAGAATTAACATCCAAAAGATATAAAGAACCCCCTCAAACAATGTGAAAAAGCCAAATACCCCAGAAGAAAACTGGCAGATTTATTCACCACTGGACAGCACATGGCAAAATGGATGCCCAACTCCTCTAAAGATCAGGGAAATGAAACAGAAAAAGAACTCTCTTCACCACTAAGATAAAGTTAAAACAAACAAATCCTGGGATACCCAGCATTGGTTAGGGTACGGGGGAGAGAGGAGAGCTGCTGAGGGGAGTATAAGGTGTGTGACCTCTTTTGGTTACATGACTGGAGTTAACAAAGCTTTCCATGTGTATCCCTGCCCTATTCTAGCATCCTCCACTCCAGAAATGCTTATACGTGTTCATTCACCACAGCACTGGTCTTTAATAGAACAAAGGTTCAAGCACACCCCTTCTATGGATTACCACGTATCAGTAAAAAGAATGCTGTCAATACCCACATAGGATCTACTACAATCCCCAAAACATATTTTTAAATAAATAAGGCAAATCACAGAACAGTATGTGGATTTAAGGTCTCTTACAGGGATTTCTTTTTAAACTATGTGTATATACTGTATGAAGATGCTCAGGAAAAGGCCCGGAAGGATAAATGCCAAAATACCAGTAGTAATTAGCCCTCATGAAGGGAGAAGTAGGGGGTGGTGAAAAAAATTTTATCTTTTACTCTACGTACTTCTGTACTGTTTTAATCCTTTATAAGAACGTACACATATACTACTTCATAAATTTGTTTCGAAATTAAACAAAAAAAGCCTATTAGGAAATAAGCCTGTTTGGGTCAAATGAAGTGATACAGACCAGGTGTACTTTCCATTCCTAAAAAGAGAAGCCCCCTAAGCAGAAGCGCTACTCTTCCCTCCCCCTGGGTTACTCACAGCCTGGGACGTGGAAACCACCGTGGTGCTGACAGGGACCTGCCGCACGGCAGAGGCTCCCGTCCCAATGCTGATGGGGGTGCTTGCGGCCCCGGAAGCCACGGCCACAGTCTTGGACACAGCAGCATTCATACTGGGCAAGGACACCGCTGAAGTATGGACAGTTCCAGACCCACCGGCCACTGAGGACCCTTGCTTGGCATGGGCCGCAACTGTGATGGTCTGGCCTGCTTTGGGGGGCATCACTCCCAGGCCCTGCACGATGCGGATCGTGGCAGCCGGTTTCGCTTCAGAAGAAGCCACTGTGTTTTTCGCCTTCTGGTCTGCCACACTCACACCGAGCGCAGGCATCAAGCGGAAAGCTGAACTTGAGGCTTCTGTTGGCTTGAGGTCAGGAGTCACTTTAACCACGGTGGTACCTGTTGGAGTGGATGAAGGGGCACTGGCCGAACTGGCCTTGGCAGGGCTCTCCGTGGCATGAACCGGATTGGAAGTGACGTGTAAGGTAGCAGAAATGCCTTTGCCCGCAGTGCCGCTTCCTGTCCCAAAGAGGTCCTGGGTCAATTTGACTGTGGTGACCTGGGACTTGGCCAACGTGGCCATCATGTCCGGAGTGATTCGCAAAACCGTCTGGCCTTTGGCATCCGTGGTGATGGAAGAGGGCGGCAGACGCAAGACATCCTTACCCTGGATGCAGAAGTTAGTGGCTGTGAGCGGAATGCTGTTGCCCGTCTGGGGCTTCACACCGAGCTGCCCAGTGATGGCCACCTGGATGGGAAAGAAACAGCACTGACCAGGGGAGCCGCAGTGCTAAGCTGCTGACATTTCTCTAACTTTTTGTTTCAAAAACTGGTGAACATTTACAAAAGTAGAGACCAGTGTATAACAAATCCGTGTACCCAGCTTCAAAGTGACCACTTTGCCAATCTTGTTTTATCTGTCCTTCCCCCTTTTTTTGGGGGGGTGGACAGAGGAGTTGGAATATTTTAAAGTAAACCACTATGTATCATTTTGCTGATCAATACTTCTGGATACACTTCTAACCTAGAAAAAGACTTTTTAAAGTAAAAAAATAATCACCTACACATTAAACCAGATGGGCTTAACAGATATGGAACATTCCATCCCAAAACAGCAGAATACACATTCTTTTTAAGTGCATACAGAACATTTTCCAAGATAGATCACGTTAGGCCACACCCACACACATAGAAAACCCCTATTACCTAATAATCATCTATAAATAGTATCTAATAATATATATTTGCATTTCCCCAACTGTTTCAAAAAATGTCTTTGACAATAATGATGATCGTCAATAATGAGAGCAGCAGAATGGCACCGGGGGTCCAGAGCATGGGCTTTGGAGCCAAACTTCCTGGATTCACACACCAACTCCTATTTAGGGTCAACGTCCCATGTGTCACACATGCAACTCTTCTAGCCTCAGGGACCTTCTCTCCATTGCATTCCCCCTCTCTACTGGATAACTGCCATCAGAATGCAAACATGCTTTCAACCTACAAAAGCAGCAGACCCTCATTTACTCCACATCCCCCATCCAGCCCCGGTTCTCTGCTCTCTTCAAAAGCAGAATTGCTGAAAAACTGCCTACATTCCCTGTCTCTACTTCCTCGCCTTACATTCTCTTTTGAACCCATTCCCAAACAGCCACCAATTCAGTGGTGGCCAGTCAAGTGTACTCATTACCTGTAACCAGTGAGTGAGCCATTTTCAGCCTCACATCACTCACACTTTCATACCCCTGATACACGTGCTGACTTCATAAACACACTGGTCATAGGTCTGAATTCCAGTATCTGCACCTCGGTGTTTTCTAGCTCAGTAAATGGTATCACAATCTACCTAATCACTCAAGCCCAAAGCTGTGGGACACACTCAACTCCCTTCTTTCAACAGACCCCATACTCTGCCCACCGGAGAATCACTCGAGCTCTACCGTCAACCCTATATCCAGAATCCCAGCACCTCTCCACACCTCCAAAGACGATGCACACGAGCCAGCCCCAGCTCACCTGCCATGACTACGTCCCACCTGGTCTCCCTGCTTCCACTGCCACCTGAAGCCCATCCTATGCAGCAGCCAGGGAGCTCTTTAAATGTAAACCACATCAAGTCATTCTGGCCTGCGATCTTTCAATGGCTCCCCATCACATTAAAATTAAAATCGAAGTCTGACGTGATTTAACCACAGCTAACCTCACAAGCAACCCCACCTTCAAACACCTTCACACCTGCTCACTAAGCTTCACACTCAATGGCTTTCCTGTTGTTCCTCAAGCACATGATGTGGAAACAACGGACTCACTGTACTTTCACTTGCTACGCCTATGCCTAGAATGCTTTGCCGCCAGATAATCAAAATATGGCACACTCTCTAACCTCATTTCACCCCTCTTCCAAATGCCATCCCCTCAGGCCTGCACAGACTGCCTTAGCTAAGATGGCACACGCCTACCCCTCCCCGTTTACTGCTCTCCTTAGCTCTTATGACACCCGTCCCTGAAGCAGTTTTCCGTCCCCCAGCTCTATGAGAAGATGAGCTCCACAAAGGCAGGGATGCGGCCTCTGGAATACACCACTAGATCCCCAATACTCTGGACAGTGCCTGGCACAAAAAAAGCACTCGATAAATATTTGTTCAATGAAAACAGTGACATTATTTTACCATTAGATTATTCCATTTCTTCATGTACAAAATAAGAATAACAAAAGCATCTACGCCATGGCATTATAAGGATTAAATTACCTAGTATCTACAAAAGCATGGTGCAGGTACATGAAAAGCACATCTGTCACTGCTACTGTGCCTAACAATTTTTTTGTGATTTTTTTCCTTAAAGATTTTATTTTTAAATAATCTCTGCACCCAGCATGGGACTCGAACTCACAACCATGAGACCAAGAGTCACATGCTCCACTGACTGACACAGCCAGGCGCCCCACTGCTTACCAATTCTTCAAAATTCGATTATCATCCTTGCATATTCACAACGAGGAAAGTACAAATGTATCCTATATTACCAGAATTAAGCAAAAATACCAGCAAAGTATATAATGTTATACCGCAAGATTTTCATTAAATAAATTCATGGAACATCTACTCCAAATCCAGAAACTACTAAATGCTAAATTATATGGAAAAGAAACAGAAAAAATCTTCAGCATCTATGAGGCCTGCACTGCCATTGGTGGGAACTCACCTTTGAAATACCCGTGAACTAAGGATCAAAGATTACAAATCATTAAGATCTCCCACTATCCTTTGCTGTAGAACAAAGGCGTCGAATCCACCCAGAGATTTCCACTGACCTGCTTGATGATGTTCTGTCCTGTGACATTCTGAATGACAGCAGCCGGGGAAGCACTCGGAGCAGAGCTCCCGGGAGAACTCGTGGCTGGCTTGCTTGCGGGGCTGGCTGTGGCAGGGAGACTTGTCATCGTGAGCCCCGTCTGCCCTGGGCCAGGACGCTGCACAGTGGCCGCTGTGCTCTGGGCTTTGACTGGAACGGTGGCCATTACTGTCTAGTTCAAGTGTGAGGCCGAGAGCTTGATTAGACACAGAGATGCAGCCCAGCACACCAAGCCATCTCCAGTGTGCCACCACCCAGAAGTGTCCCTCTAAGAGTACTTGTACTCTACCAGTGCTTAAGGCTCGCTACGCTACTAAGTGGACACTGTAAAGTTCTTGTATCTGTGTGGAGCATCTTAATTTTCAGAAAGCTTTCACACTGAACCTCCCATTTTATTCCTACACAATGAGAACAAATATTATAGCCCTTTTATGATAAAGGAAACTGAGGCAGGAAATAAGACTCTTCTTTAAAATTACCCAACTAGTTAGCGGCACAGCTAAGATGATAGGCACAATGGAAGGAGCCTGAAATTTAGAATCACATCCCACCTCCACGAGGGTCCTAACATTACAATCCTGAGTAAATCACTAAACTTCTTGGAAGTTCTGATTCCCAACATGTAAAATACAACTTATTAGTCATGCTTACTCAGCTGTGAACATTAAATGAGCTGCTGTGTCAGGCTCCTCAGTCCCTCCCCAGCCTGCCCAGTGGACTCATCAGACTACCTCAGGGTCCAAGGCTCGCTGTCCCCATTTACCTGGGGCACAACTTTGGTCTGTGGAGCAGTGGCTGGAGCGCGAATCTGTGGTCCCGCCGGCATCTGGGGCAGCGTCTGCGTTGGTCCCGCCGACTGCTGAGTCACAGTAGGAAGGCCAGGCTGGGCCACCACCCGCACCTGGGGTAGTCCAGCTGAGCCAGAGTGGCTCACGACGCGGGCGGTGGCCTGAGAACTTGGTGGAGTCTGGCTGGAAGCCGGGGAAAGCATCGTTCCTAGCTGTGGCATGGTTGGGGAAGACACCAGAAGAACACTACAAGGATATGGGAAAATGGGGGGGAGGGGAACACAACAAGACCCAAACAATTTAAGCCACACATCCAAAAGGCCTTCAGAGGGAGAAAGCTGGAGAAAAAAACAGAGGAGCTTACCCTGAGCTAGATTTAGCTGGTTCTGAGACAGCAGCAGGGCCACTTTTGTTCACTGATGACACAGGTGGAGGGGAGATCGGAGTGGCAGGCAAAGCCGGAGTGGTGGGGGTCACAGGTGTGACCGGGGTGGGTGGCATGCTGGAGTCACTGAGGCTCATCTGGCTCTGCTCAGAGGGGCCACTGCTGAGGACCTTCAGTGAACTCTCCTTGGTACCGGATTTCTACGAGGAGAGAAATCGGGTGCAGTTACCAAAAGTCCCCAAGGGGTGGCACGACCCTGCGGTTCCCGAAGGCCTCGTTGCCACCACCTGCGACACCACTGAGGCAGCCGCTCTCAGAGGTCACTTACCACCTTCGATGGGGGCTTGGGTTTTTGCTGAAGGGCTTTCCTGGCTTTAGCTGCAGCTGCCTGTGCTTGGTGAATCCGCTCTGTAAACAAGAGTGGTAAGCCTCAGCAAGTTTAACCTCAGCACAGTAAGGAGGGTGGCTTCATTAAGAGCTGAGCCCCGGCTGGTGGCCTCACCAGCGGGCTAGGTCCTGCCTGAACGTCACTGTAAAGCCTAACAGCACTGGGGCAGGAAGTCAGAAGCTTCCCTAGTCCACTCGGGGCCTCACGCACCGAACTCCTCCTCACTCCGGTCTCGATGCAGGTAGATCCACAGCTTTCGCCCAATGTCGTATTTCACACACGGGTCTTTCTCATAATGCAGCCGATCCAGTGCTCCGCTCACCACCGTGTTCACCTGAGAACCAGAGCAAAGGGAGAAAGGGACGTGTCAGACTCGGACGCCAGAGCAAAATCGCTGGGTGTACGTCGCAGCCGATCAACAGATCCTAACTCGGCCGGGTGGCAGCACCGCCAACGGCTCCCTGCGTCACTGGCAAAACAAGAAGCACCCTAAGATTCCTGAAAGACTGAGCTGTGCCCTGAAAGAGCCGGGGAACTAAGAAGCCGTAGAAGCTGAAGGAAACTGCAGAGTCAAATCTGTGCTCCACTGACTGCAGGGTCTTAGGTCATCACTGTTCCCATTTCTTAGGATCTCCTCCTTTCCTCTTCATCACTCAATTAAAAAAAAAAAAAAATTACGACATTTTATGTTTCCCTCTAAGTTTTCTCAAACGCGTTCTGGAACAAAACAAACACGATCTCTTTTCCATCCTACCTGGGTGCTGGTGACATCTGGGGCAAGAAACTGGGAGTCCTTGAGTAGTTCACAGATCTCTGCCCGGGTACCTTCCCCGTTAGGCAGCCGGGCCGCAGCATCTCGAACTGATGGCATGAGAAAATGGAAAGTCCAAGAGTCAAGCACGGCTGCCACTGAGGAGCACTGTCCTTCTCACGTGCTCTCGTGGGGAGCAGCTCGCTGAGGAGTGTCTCTGCTGTAGTCAGAGTCGGCATTACCATCTATTCTGATAGTAATAAGGGGGCAGTGGCCTATACTCTTCACACTTTCAGCCAAGACTGAGGTCTGTTAACTCGGGTGGGAAAAAAATTTCCACATCTGACTGAAATTTAACATTTTCCTTCAATTATGAGCAAAGGTATTGGCAGTGACGTGATCAGAAATCAGATATTTTCATATCACATCACAGCTGCTGTGGACAAGATCACATCACAGTATCATTTCCACTCATCACTATACGGAAATTACAGGAGATGTAAGACCTGCTACTGGGAACTGTCATTTAATATCATAATAAAAACATATATATTTCTGCATCATAAATTTAACATTGTGATAAATATTTTAATAGGGCCGGTTTCTTTAGTAACTCTATGCATTTCATTTTATGCGTTTAAAGACCAGATCCTGAGATGGAGTCTGCAGGATTCACCAGACTACCAAAGAGCTTCATGGCACAAAAAAAGGTTAAAAGCCTCATCATTAAAATAATCAGCCTAGGGCGCCTGGGTGGCTCAGTTGGTTAAGCAACTGTCTTCCGCTCAGGTCATGATCCTGGAGTCCCGGGATCGAGTCCCGCATCGGGCTCCCTGCTTGGCGGGGAGTCTGCTTCTCCCTCTGACCCTCCCCCCTCTCATGTGCTTGCTCTCATTCTCTCTCTAATAAATAAATAAAATCTTTAAAAATAAAATAAAATAAAATAATCAGCCTAAAGAAAGCAAATTCCCACACTCAAGCTAACTATTTAGCTGGCCTGTGAAAAATTCCTACATGAAAATAAATGTGAGCCCAGACTTCAGGGAAGAAACACCGATTCCTAGCATCAATCTCTGGGGATCGAATTCCCCCTTTATGTCCCAAACTCCAAGGCCTCCTAAAACTGCATCTGACCATCAAAGCCCTTCTGGGGGGGTTGGTTGGGGAGACAGCTGATTAGAGAAAGAAGGGATCCCTGACAAGAGACAAATGACACATACCAAGAGACAGGATGGTGACATAGGCAGGCCGGTCAGAGCGCAGCAGGGAGTGTTCCCGAGCCTTGTTGAGTGAGGTCTCCTTGTCAAAAACACCCTTCACAGGCCCCACCACAGACTCGAAGCCATGCATGCGAAAGGTGAATGCCTTATGGGGTTGGCTGTATCTGTAACGCTCCTACCAAGAGAAAAGAGACAAGGCTCCTAAGTCACAATTAGTGGGGTTCTGTCTAATGCTCTCATACAATAAGGGGTCGACCTGGAAAGACTAAAACAAGGAAACAGGGTATTACACTAGGAATACTGAGCCAAACACAGTGGGAAAAGGATGATCTCCAAAGAGATCACTAGTAAAGGGACAGAGAGATAAATATAGATGTATTCTGCTGTCTGGAAGAAAACCCCATCAAAACATTTCTCATTCCCTTTCCTCACACCAATTCTACCCCCAGCAAACAATCTCAACCAACAGAATATCTAAGGTTAAGGGCGTGAGCTTCCTCTAAGAATATGGACTCAAGGAGAGTCAAGCTCAGAGCTTCCTCTGCATGGCCCCATAAATGAAGAGATTTTCACTGGGTGCTAGCAATCCCTTACCTGCTCCTGAAAAACTCTCTTCTCCTCCCCCGTGCTGGGCCGCACCACATAGTCAGTTCTTCTGGAACATAAAGAATTTTGTATCCATCACCCCTTCTCCAGTACCCAGAACCAGTCCTTTGCACCATGAAAAAAATGTCCCTTCATTAGTACTCTGTTCCTGCAAAGGTCAAAAGTCCACTTTCCAGATCCTACCAAGTACTCCCGTATTTCCAAAAATTACTCGAGTCTCAGAAATCCAGAAAAGTTACTACGTAGATGAGAAAGAGACTGTTTTTACCTGTTTTCAGTACTATTGCTAAGTAAACCCCATCTAATGGCAACCAAAAAATTCAGCCTGAGAGGAACAAAGGACTTCAAATTTGTAACGTGACAAAGATGGTTTTTCTGTTCCCAAGAGAAACTGAGTTTCTCTGTTACATAAGACAACGGTTCTGCCATATTCAGGCTGGCCCTCTGTGCTAGTGCTCAGGAACCTAAAGAACCACACATCAAAAGCAGTAAAATACTTAGAAATAAATTTAACCAAAGAGGTGAAAGATCTGTACGCTGAAAATTACAAGAATTTGATTAAAGAAACTGAAAAAAAAAAAAAATACAAAGCAATGAAAAGATTGCCTATGTTCATGGATTGGAAAAATATTGTTAAAATGTCCATATTACTGGGGCACCTGGGTGGCACAGTCAGTTAAGCATCCGACTCTTGGTTTTGGCTCAGATCATGATCTCAGGCTCTGCGTTGGGCTCTGCGCTCAGCAGGGAATCTGCTTGGGACTTTCTCTCCCTCTCCCCATCCCCACTACTCTTCTCTAAATCAATCAATTAAAAAAAAAAAAAAAGTCCAATTACCTCATATCACCTATAGATTCAATATAATCTCTATCAAAAGCCCAAAACCATTTTTCACAGAAACAGAAAAAATAATCCTAAAATTCATATGGAACCACAAACAACCCCAAATGGCCAACGCAATCCTGGGACCCATCACACTTGCTGATTTCAAACTTTATTACAAAGTTATAATAGTCAAAACAGTACAGCACTGGCATAAAAACAGACACATAAGCCAATGGAACAGAATCAAAAGACCAGAAATTAACCATTGTGTAAATGGTCAAACCACTTGCTCCATATCTGACAATGGAGCCAAGAATAATCAATAAGGAAAGGATAGTCTCTCCAATAAATGGTGTTGGGAAAACTGGATATCCAGATGGGAAAGAATGAATCTGGACCCCTATCCTACACCACTCTCAAAAATTAACTCGAAATGTATTAAAGATTTAAACATAACACCTAAAACTGTAAAACTCCTAGAAGAAAACATATGAAAGAGGCTCCTAGACACTGGTCTAAGCAACAATTTTTTAGACATGACACAAAAACACAAGCAACAAAAGTAAAAATAAACAAGTGAGACTATTTCAAACAAAATCTTCTGTACAGCAAAGGAAAAAACAAAATGAAAAAGCAACCTACCAAATGGGAGGAAATATTTGCAAAGCATGTACCAAAACCACAATGAGATACCACCTCACACATGGTAGAATAGCTATTACCAAAAAGGTAAGAAATGACAAGCATTAGGAAGGATGCAGAGAAAAGAGAACCACTGTGCACTGCTGGTAGGAATGTAAACTGCTTCAGCCACTACAGAAAGCATATGGACATTCTTCAAAAAATTAGATAAAAAAAAAAATTAGAACTATCATATGATTCAGCAATCCTACTTCTGGGTGTACTTCCGAAGGAAATGAAATCACTATCTCGAAAAGACAGGTGCACCTTATGTTCATCGCAGCATTATTTACAATAGCTACAACACAGAAACAACCTAACTGCCTGTCAATGGATGAACAGGCAAAGAAAATGTAGTATATAATAATCCATAAGGCAGAATATTATACAGCCATAAAAAAGAAGGAAATCCTGCTATTTGCAACAATATGGATGGCCCTTCAGGGCATTACGCTAAGTGAAATAAGTCAGACAAAGAAGATAAATACTGTATGATCTCACATATGTGCAATCTAAAAAAAGCCAAACTCACAGAAACAGAGAATGGTAGTTATCAAGGGGTGGTGGATGGGGGAGATGGGGAGAGGTTGGTCAAGGGTACAAACTTCCAGTTAGAAGACAAATCAGTTCTGGGGATCTAATGTACAGTATAACGACTACTTATCAATATTGTTTCATACACTTAAAAGCTGCTAATAGAAACCTTAAATGTTCTCACCACAAAAAAAGAACTGATAATTATGTGACATAATGGATATAACTAATATCATGGTAATCATTTCATAATATATACATGTACCAATTCAACACGTTATACACCCCACAATATTATATGTCAACTGTATCTCAACAAGGCTGGGGCGGGTGGGGGACACAAAGGACCACATCAGACTGGAAACAATCACATGAAATGATGTGATATAAAGAGCTCAGGATTAGAGATCAAGAGGCCTAAATTCTAGATCAGGTCCTGTCACTAACCTTCAGCAAGTCACTTAACCTCACGCCTCAATTTCTTCATAGGTAGAATGAGAAAGATTAGATGAATCCTTCTCAAATGGGAAATGAAGGAGAATTCAGGGAAAGGAGTATGCCCTCCTACAACATGGATCACAACCCCCTCAGGAACTCTACTGTGCAGTCCTCTCCCCAATTCAGAATCCTTTGCTCAGAAAGCCACTCTTACTGATGGGAGTGTGTTACCCTTCTCAGGTATGTTAAGGCAGGTTAGAATCAGTGGACACCTAGGACCTCTAAAGTTCACTACGACTCTAACATACTAAGAAACGTCAGCAAAACCATGGCAGTACCTTAAACTATAATTTCATAGACTACCACCCACCATTCAAGTATTATACTCACACCCGAGGAACAGGTGTTGTGGCATCTGAGCTGTCTTCATTTTCTTGCTGGAGAAAAGGAAAACATTAACAGGTAAATGGACTAAAGAATTTTGGCTAATTTAAGGACTCTGGAAATCCAATAAGAAAAATCTGGTTATTTCTTAAAAACCGTACCTTACAGAAAGCCTGGTCTTTGGTTTCTAGCCACAGCTGGAAGAGTGCAGCTAATTCCTTTTCATTATCTTGGGACTGGCCTATCAGGAAAACAAAAAGGCAAATAACAACAAGAGTAATAACAATACTAAAACAATCTACGGTATTACTCAGAATCCCACTGTCTCCTTGCTGTATCTATGCCAGAGAGAGAACCCATCAGGACCTATAGTGCAATGATCCTGTGCACATAGTATCCCCTCAGCCTGTATTGCCTTCCATTCACTGTCTGCCTGGACCAACACTTCTGGATGTTTCCTCAGTAAATCACTCCTTCCCTAGGTATTTGCTGAGCAGCCGCCGTGTGCCAAGCACTGCATACTAGGCAGGGTTACTCAGTGAACTCAGCCTCTGTTCTCACGGAGTTTATAGTCAAATGAGAAAAGAATACAAGTTAATAAAATCTCAAAGTGGTAGGTATCACAAAGGATATCATGAAAGCTTACCCTAGGGAAGTTTTCCTGTCCTTGGGGGTCAGAAAAGGCTTCTCATTGTGGGGCAACAAAGGCATTCTACCAATTGGCATAGCAATAAGAAGGCCCTCAGGAAGGAGAAAAGCTTGACCCCCTTGATCTGCCTAGAGATGAGCACCTCCCTCCTGCCCTCCTCCCCTCTTACTTTGTTCGGGCTCCTACGGAAGCACCCATCACACGATGGTCCCTATGTCTCCTGCCCAGACTAGAAGCCACAGAGACCACCAGCACTCGGGTCTGCCTGTGGGAAGAATACAGCCTCCCAGGGCCTACCCTTCTCAAAGCAGCTAAGATGATGCTTCTGAGGACTCTTACATGTTCTCCCTAGTCAGGCAGAGTCCCACCATCGCCAGAAAGTGCTGAACTTTCTTATCCTGGGAAGATTCCTCTACTCCTCTGCCTTCTAGAATTGCTCCTTCATAGTCCATTTCCCTACAGCCTAATCAATCCTCTTCTCACACCACTCCCTCCACATCCTTACCTGGTGTGAAGTCTGCCACCTGTCTTAGCTGGTCCACAAGCTTAAAATCCTTATTATCTGGTCGGATAAGGTCTGCCACCCCGGGCATAAGTCCCCCTCCAGGCTGACTTCAAGCCACCAGTCTGACAGAGTCAGAAAGAGCGACACGGTCAGCAATTGTGGGTTGCCTTCAGCTCCCCACGGTCCTTGATGCCCACCACCCTAGTAAGGAATCACTCTTACAAGAAATTCACCAGTTCTTCCACGTTCTCAAATCCATGGGCTTTATCTTCCTGAACCCTTTTAGGATGATCAAGGCTAATGACCACTCCCCACTTCCTGTGTCCTTCCCTGGCTTCCAAGATCCAACTATTTCATGGTTTCCTCCCAAGTCACTTCTGCATATGCTCTCGTGCTCAGCCTGCTCAGCCTCGGAGCTTCTCAAGGCTTAGTCTAAAGCCCTCATTTCTCCTCACTTCACGCTTCCTCCCTATGCCTTGATAACTGTAGATATGCCAACAACTCCCTGCCTTGACTCTCCCATATGGATTCTAAACCCACACATCCTACTGCCTACTCAACATTAACACTTTTAAATACCTCGAAGGCAGCTCACACTCAGCACATCCAAAACTAAACTCAGGATCTCCGCCCTCACCCCAGGCAAGATGTCCTCCACAGCTGCCTACCACAGTGAACGGCATCTTCACCGTGAGGCACAAATCTAGCAGAAGTGATGCTTGACAGCACTCTCCCTTTACTCCCCGCAGCCAGTCATAACCAAGTCCTATGGCTTTTACCACCTACAACTTTCTCAACTTTGTCCACTCTCCTCGGGTCCAGATTATCATCATCTCTACGTAGGCCTGTGTGATCTTTTTCAATCGAATCTTCCCTGGCATCGCTGATCCATACTGCTTCCTCCACATGGAATGCTCTTCCCCTCAATCTGCCTCGCTCCTTCCTAGTCATCATTAACATCTCTGCTGAAATGTTCCTTCCTCAGGAAGGTCCTAGTCATCATTAACATCTCTGCTGAAATGTTCCTTCCTCAGGAAGGTCCTCCCAACTCTGCAGAATACACCAACACCTCGTCATAAACTTCCAACCTTTCTGGTACTTTCCCCTCATAGGATGTGTATGTTTGTTATTTCATGTGAATGGATATTTGTTCATTATATACTTCAGCACCTAACCCAATGCCTGACACCTAAAAGCCAAATAAACGTAAGGAATAAATGAATCTACTGTGTTCACAACCTTCTCTCCATCTCTCTTCACAGACCACTCAAGGGGGTAAAGAGAAAGGTTAGTGAATTTCAGTAGGAAATCAACATGGAATTTTCCTCTTAACACCATCACTGGTAACCAAATTACTTCAGGTACATAATAAAACGTAGTAAGTGGGACTTCGTCAATTAAAAAAAAAAAAAAAAAAAAAGAATCCTGCTCTTTGGAAATAGTGTATTCAGGGCTGTCTGACATCCTGTTGCACGTTACCCTCAATAGCAAAGCCCACTGTTGGGAAAGAAAAATAATTACACTCTTACAGGTTAATCTAAAAGCATAGGCACGATTTTTCTTTTTTTAAAGATTTTTATTTATTTATTGAGAGAAACAATGATAGAGAGAGAGCATGAGAGGGGGGAGAGTCAGAGGGAGAAGCAGACTCCTCGCTGAGCAGGGAGCCCGATGCGGGACTCAATCCTGGAACTCCAGGATCATGACCTGAGCCGAAGGCAGTCGCTTAAACAACTGAGCCACCCAGGTGCCCCCACAGGCACGATTAATACGACGATGGGTCCTACTGCAAAATACCCCCATGAATTTAAATCCATCGTCCTAGAAGGGCCATCCCACCCCAGCTTGGGGGAGCCAAAATCCAGTGGAGGGGTGAAACTTAGACCCTGAGATACCAAAGGGGTCACAAAGGATCTTTTTAACTGAGCAACATAAGACTTAATATTGCTGTTCTCAATATCCTACTAGGCTGTGTGGACTAGAAGGCAAGAGCAGCTGAGCAGAGGATGCAAGACAGTGAAAACCCACCTCTACGAGTGGGCAGTATGAATTACTCACCAAGCAATTTCCACTGCTGGGTTTTCTCTTTGAATTCAACAAATGCTGAGAAACTGGAAGGTATGGCTGCAAGAAATGGGATCACGTGAACAAGCCGCACAGGTCGGAGCGCGCACAGAATTCCGAATAACTGCAATCCTTGAGCTTTGAGAGAACTTTTGAATGTTTCATAGTGGATCAAGACAGCGGAGACCCCCAAGGCACAGCACTAGGTGAAACCACAGGGATTTAACCAGGAATGCTGTAGTTTACCAGGAAAATGAATTAAACAAGGGGGGGTGGGGATACTTGACCCTAAGGAAAAAAGTACCTTACCACGACTTTCCCCAGCAAGATATTGCAGGGCTGGTAACACCAACTCTGCCCAGTTGGGGGCGGCAGAGAACCAGCTATTGAGGGAGCTGGCTGGAGAGGACTGCCAATCCAAAACCCGTTCCTCCAGCTAAGGGAAAACAAAGACAGAAGCCAGTTAGAGTTCTATTCCACACCAGTAATCCCGCAGATGCACCAGAGCAAGCTAGGATACATCTGCAAGTCACAGAGCAAGCTAGGATACATCTGCAGGTCACAAAGCAAGTTAGCTGCAGAGCTCTGAGAGGAACCCAGAATTCTTCTCCAGCTGTAGACTGTTAGTTTTCTACAATTTGAAAACTCTGATGTACATGTGACTTTTCCAAAACTCTTACCATAGGAAGGCTAGCCTGCCCCTCTAGCAGCAAGATCTCTAATAGAAGAGAGAAGAAACTGGAAGATATTTCATTGATTCCAAGGCAAGGTTTGAGGTCTTCAAGAGGCCTAATGAAGGAAAAAATATGTAAGAACAATTGAAGAGACCAAGAACACATCCCCAGATGGTTTAGGCCCTCCAAACCCTCTAGGAATCATACAAAAGTTCAATAAAGGACCACACCATACACGTTCCCTAGCAGGTCCCCTGGGACTCTGGTCTTGCACGTTCAACACGCACGGGCTCATTCCATGCACCAGTGCTGCGTACATCCCAGGTTAACCTTTCACCCTCGAGCAGCAATCTCTTGTTGCTCACTTACTCCTCCTTGATAGCAGGTATAGCCAGCGGAGAAGGGGCCTGGGAGAGAGGCGGGATCCCGTCAGCGCTGCTTAAGGGTTCAGCCAAATCCTCTGCCTCTGATTTGATCAGTTTTATTTTCTTCTTCTTCTTCTCCTCTTTTTCCTTAACCTTTTTTTTAAGGACAGCCAAGTCATACAGGGCTAGGAAGAAAAGGCAACACAAATCACAGAACTGCATTTTCTACATCAGGAAGTGAGGGTCTTATCTGAATGTTATTTTCCAAACACCCACCAGTAGAAGAAAGAAAAGTCTTAAGTAAAAAGACATTGAGTTACTTTTTGTTTCTTTTTGTTTGCTTTTTTGTTTTTCTTTTTTCTTTTTTCTACCAAATCCAGTGAGAGATTTTACAAGTTAATTTTAACACCTATTAAAGAGCCAAAGATCTACTGTATTGATTTTACACTCATTTTCCACCTACAAATCCATAAGAGGCAATAACTAAACAAAAGTTATCAGCAAGAAGGAAGCTGTGGTCTCATTTACTTATGCCACACGTAGCTGGCTGACGTAACGTAACACAACAGTCAGATGAGGTCAGCCTCCAGAGGACATCACTTACCTGCTAGAGAGCCCTTCCTGCCGGCATTTACTCGAGTCATGATGTCACTGAGAGTCAGGTCCCCTGTCAAAAGGTCCGGATGATCCTGGATGTGATATTCAGAGATTTGTTATCAAGGCCCCAAAAAGAAGCTAAAACTGCTGATGATTTTGCCAATTTACCTAGATATAATCAGATGTTGGGCGCACTTGCGGAAATCCTATCTCCCCTTCATAATGGGGCACAGAACCCACTTCCAACATTTCTACTGTATGGCATTTAGTTTATAAAGCTCTTTTGCATTCCTTATCTTAGTGCTCTTCAAACAATCTTGTTAAGTGTCACTATATTTTATAGTCTGAAAACGGGGTTGAGAAAAAGGTAAGGGAATTGCTGATTTCCAGTGTGGACGCTTTCCACCTCACTACCTGCCTTTTCTTCCTCCCCTCTGCTCTTTGGCTTGGCTGCACTGGCATTACCTTGACTTGGTAGAGTAACAGAGAGAGTAAAAAGTGGGAAGAGCACAGGATTTGACTCCTGACTTCCTAGCTGTAGGGCCAAGGACAAGCTCCTTAACCTCTCCAAACACAGGTAAAATGGATATAATGATCCATGTACCAGTCTTGCTATAAAGATTAAATCAGACACTACATCAAGCATTTGTCTTCCTCTCATATCTCTGGTGTTAACGAGCCACTACAGTGGCTCCTGTCCCCCCAACAATAGAAAAGGAACCATAAATGATATGGTGACTACCTTCATCTCCCAAAAGCCAATCCAAAGATATCAGACTGAAAACCACTAATGACCACCCCACCCAATCTTACTGGTTGATGTTTCCGCTTCTCATGGTGCTTCTTTAACATTATCTTCAGGTCACTGTCCCCCAGTTCTATTTTATCTGAGAGAAAATGAACCAAACCACATGGATTAGGTCATTCACTAACATGATGCTCAAATCCAAGTCTTTCTGGTCACTTGTGATACTCAAAAGTAACACGTTCCTCTGAATGTCCCTTCTGAATCCCATGTACTACAAGCACACACAATCTTGAAATAGTCACAGGATCAACTCTTCAGCTTTTCTCTACACTGATCAGTAAAAATGACCTCAGTTAGTTAGCTGTTCCTGAAACACCTCAAAAATTCTTAACCGTCTTCTTTGATTCCTATCCCAATTAAAAGTTCTTCTCTAATTTCAGACATTCTAAGAAACTGCTATGGCTCTGATTACCTCTTGTTCTATTATTGAACTGTCCCTAAATATTGCTATTTTAATAATCTACTTTAAGCCCAAAATACCAGCCGATTAGCTCCTAAAGAAAAGCTTCAAAACAAAGGAAGGAAGAAAGGCAGGCCTACCTACTTGTAAAAAGTGGAATCGTACAGAAACTTCTCCCAATCTCCCACTTATGAGGAACACTGCTTCGATTCCCTGGCAGTAAGAATCCAGCGCCCACCCTGTAAGGGAGTTCTCAGATCTACGTCCTGATCTCCCAAAACGTCCACAGCATCACTCAGTTCTCACCTGCAGTTTTCATATCCGTGGTTGAAAGCGTGGGCACCACCCTCAGGGGCACCGCAGGGCTAGGAGAACGCGCTGGAGAGCTCGGAAGCCATGAGCTGAGATCTTCAAAAGAAAATTTTTCTTGTAAATCCAACGTGGCTGTGGACTCCAATAGGGGAGATTGGGTAAGTGGCCATTTGGGTTCAACAAGGCTAAGCCAACAACATGGAGGCCAGGGTTCCACCACTCCTTTCTGGCCCTTCTCCAGACGAACTGGAGCACACTTAGGTCATTTAAACGGCTCTTCCAGGAAGAGAGACTTCAACAGAGTGATGGGGTCGCACTGCAGCAGGCCAACAGTCACTACTACTCTCCTGTAGGGGGAAAAGTAGCTCTCTCAAGTGGCACAATAGGACCAGACAGGCCTACTGTGGAGAGCCCTGCCACGCAGGGATTCAGCTCACCTAGACTCTAATGCCACGTGAGCACCAAGGGGACAAAGGTATGCAGTCACACCCCACCCAAGAGGAATGGCTCAGAGCCCAAAGACTAGGGAATTCTGAGTGCCGTCATCCAACCCCCGAGACACACAACTGGGAGAGCTTCTTTCCCGGGAGACAAATGGCTACCACTGGCTCCAACTGAACAACACGCTGCTGGTGTAAATCCAACATCCCAGCTACTCCAAGTGCCCACACTCACCCTCTTCATCAGATGACAGGTCCGTGTCGCCACACTCCTCCTTTACTTCCCTCAACACCTTCAAGTAGCGCTGCTGGGTCCGCCACTCCCGCTCCTCAGGGGTACGGGAGGGTGAAGGGCGCTTCTGGCGGAAGGGAAGGGCTGGGCCGCTCCGTCGGGCCATCTCCAGTAGGTCCTAGGAAGAGATCAGATGGGGATACACGTCATCATCCAAAGCTTATTCTGGTGCATTCCTCAAGTCTACATTTTCTTCTCTTGATTGTTGAACAAGCTCAATTCCCTCCTTTCAGATCAGAGATGCACACAGGAGAATATGTCCAAATAAGAAGAGCCTCTACTAGGGGCGCCTGGGTGGCTCAGTCGTTAAGCGCCTGCCTTCAGCTCGGGTCATGATCCCGGGGTCCTGGGATCGAGCCCCGCATCGGGCTCCCTGCTCCGCGGGAAGCCTGCTTCA